TAATCACCACCACAACTCACCAGAAACTCATCACCAACACAACTCACCAGACAATAATCACCAACACAACTCACCAGACACTCATCACCACCACAACTCACCAGACACTTATCACCACCACAACTTACCAGAAACTAATCACCACCACAACTCACCAGAAACTCATCACCAACACAACTCACCAGACAATAATCACCAACACAACTCACCACATCTCACCAGCCCCACACTCCCTCCTCCCCCTCACCAGCCCAACACTCCCTCCTCCTCACCAGCCCCACACTCCCTCCGTCCCCTCACCAGCCCAACACTCCCTCCTCCTCACCAGCCCGACATTCCCTCCTCCCCCTCACCAGCCCCACACTCCCTCCTCCCCCTCACCAGCCCAGTCTCTCCTCCCCTTCACCACCCCACACTCCCTCTTCTCCCTCACCAGCCCCAGTTTCCCAGGGGCGGGGGGGGGGGGCATCACTACACCCTTCACTGGCGATACTTAGCCCGTCTGAGCTTGAATCATATACAGTAGATCCACTCAGGTGACCATTTAAGATTTAAGCTCATGGCCTTTTGTTACAAAGTACTGAGTGCTAATTTTTGTAATTTTTCTTCCTTTAGATTGGTACATATTCCTTTGATGGTGATCTGGACATCAACCCTACTTACGTTCCGTCCTGGGACGGCAGCTGCGATCGCCAGGATTCCTGCACCGAGTGTCCCACTGTGAGAAATACCAAGGCACGCGACATGTGGCAGCCAGCAGCCAATGACAATGCTGCTACTATCCTTATGATACAAAATGGCCACTACCCCGGTTCAGACCCTTACAGATGTGGGACACTCAAAATCAGCGACTTGCATGTTAGTCTGGCGTTTTTCTATGCACTTGAGGAACTGACACCAAAACCATACGACGTTCGTGGCGTTCTGATCGATTACTGCTCCAATACTCTCAGGATTGACCAGGACCTTTACAGTCTGTTAGCTACAGGAAAGTTCTGTAACACTGCTTTTGGGGCTAACGGTGTCGTCAACAATTCCACCATTGCTGGCATATTGACCACCTCCTCAACATCAACAGTTGCAGCTAACCGGGTGGTGAAACCTCTCAGGATACCTATTGTCAGTAGTGTAGCAACGTCGGTGCTCTTGTCAGACCAAAATAATTTTCCTTACTTTTCACGTACAATTCCCCCGGATGATTACCAGATGAGAGTTATTGCAAAGATTCTGGCCCAAAATGACTGGACATATGTCTCTGTTGTGTATACGAAGGAACCTTATGGCATATCAGGTCTCGAGCAGCTTCAGAAGAACACCAGGACTAACGGTGTTTGTGTCTCTAACTCTGTAGGGATCGATGTCTCGGCCAGCATGGAGGATGCTAAAGCAGCTGTTCAAGAACTTACAACGAATGCCGGAGCCAATGTCGTCGTTCTCCTCACCCTTTATCCTGATGTAGTTATGGCCGCAGCTAAGGAGCTGAACTTGGTGGACCGATTCGTGTGGATTGGTACCGATACGTGGGGACGATCCGCCGAGATCCCAGTGGGCATTGAGAGTAAGCTTCACGGATTGATCACCATTGACATACGCAGTGCTGTTGTGCTTAACTTTATAGAATACATGAAAAAAATCACTTACACCAACCGTAAGAATATTCCTACCGATTGGTTTGAGGAATTTTACCAGGCGATGCATCAGTGTCAACTAACGGACGCTCTGTCACCTGCCACAAAGTTTACCAGCCTCTGTAACAAAGGGGAGGTAATCACTAATGACATGGTTCTGTCCAGCAATGCCTACATCTTGCATACCATTGCTGCCACATACTCTCTTGTTAATGGGTTAAATACTGTCCGCACTGGTGCCTGTGATCTTGCTTCAACATTTTCCGACTGTTTCTCCAATGTGGATAACTGGGACCGGTTACTCGCCGGAATCCTTGGCACAGACTGGGATATGCATAATAACCTTAACCTTGAACCAGCCGATACTTTTGACCTTCGTTTCAACAGCCAGCGTTTTGTTGATACTGGCTACAATATCTACACATTCATGAATGACGGAACAGGATACAAGTACCATCTGGTAGGTTTATCTATTTCTCCCATACCTGTGTGTACCATAGAGTTATCTCCCATACCTGTGTGTAGCATAGAGTTATCTCCCCCCCCCTACCTGTGTGTAGCATAGAGTTTTTTACCATACCTGTGTGTAGCATAGAGTTATCTCCCCCCATACCTGCGTGTAGCATAGAGTTTAATTACTCCATGCACCTATGTAAGCTAGAGTATTTTCTCATTCCTGTTTGCATGTATGATTGATCTATTGCGATATATCATGATTCACTCCAGGCGTATTGTGACGGCCTTATTTTATGGACATTGGACAGTTAGAGAGAGCGTAAATTTTCCACAAATTTCCAAAGGTGATGAGCTAGAACATACAACTTATATGATACAGGCATTTTTTTTGTATTTAAGAGTAGAGTTAATACTTCATGATTTTGAATTGTCCATAACATTCATGTCTAACTTATTGTTTTGGAGGCACACTTGCATTGAGAAACTATTATTCCAATATGTCAAAGTAGATATTGGTTATAATATTTAATCCTTTTTATAATTATTAATTAAAAATATTGAAATTAAAGTGTCAAAGCAATTATAATAGGAAATATTATTTAGTGTTTATATATAAATGTTGGTGCATCAAATTTGTATTGGCTCGGAAAGCTGATTTAATGGTCTATTAATTTCAACTATACTCAAGTTTTACATCTCCTTACAGGTCGGATCATCCACAGGCAGTATAGTAAACTTTGACGGTTACGACCACCAAAGAGGAGAAGGTTTCACATCCAAATGTCCACCTGGCGTCATTTGTGACTGTGACCTTGTGAACACACCTCAAGCCTTAATTTCAAACGAAACAGACACACGCTTCACAGAGCCACGAAACTACTTCTTCTACAATGAGCGAACCAACGATTTTGGACAGACAGTATTTGACCAGGTGTATACTTGGCCTATCTGGGCGATCGCGGTCGGAGTGCTTACCAGTGCGGGTCTACTGGTGGCAGTACTGTTGTTCCTGTATTTCCTTGTGGCCTATCCAGTTCGAGGTGGCACCACAATTCTCGGCTTCATGGTACTGCTTGGTGTTATTGGTATCTATGCCATCAACTTCGCCTTCTTCCTGCCTGCGTCTGATGCCACCTGTGGAGCGAGACGCTTTATGATGGGCGTGGTTTACACCATTGTGTTTGCGGCTTTACTTGTGAAAGCCCTGGACAACTGGCGCTACAGTGATATGGAATACAGTGTCCGCAAATATAAGGGACTCACCAGTGCGTGCTCGCTTTTCTTGGTGGCACTCGGGATTGTGGCCATTGAGGCTATCATACCAATTATGTGGCTAATCCTTGTACGCCCCACGGCCAGTTTCTACACGGAGGGAATGGTGATGAACGACTGGGCATGGTGCGACCCACATGACCTGTATGACCGTGCTCTTGTCATGTCTATGATTTTCGTCATGTTCCTGGTGATCGTGACGGGGATTGTGGCCTCCCTGGCCTGGGACAGTGACAGTAATTATTACGAATCTCGCTGGATCTTTGTGTCCAGCGTGTGCACAGCAGGCTGTTTCCTCGTCTGGATGATCGTTTCCACCAATGCAGGTCCACCGTTCCGGGATCCCGCAGTTGCACTTGGAAACTGCATTAATGCCACAGCACTTCTCATTTTTATCCCCATCAGGAAACTGGCCCTTCTCTGTTACCTTAAAAACGGTGATGAGACAGACAAAGCTCAACACCTAGGTGAAGAACGTAAGTTGTTGGTAATTAAATAGTCCAGACAGACACACACGCACACACATAAACCCTTGATTACCACTGATATGTCATGTACAACAAACAACCTTAGTAGACATTTTGTTCCCTTTTGTATTTTTATGCCCTGCCATAAAATGGGGGGGGGGCATAATTAAAGTGTTGCCCATGTCCGTCCCGTTCCTTGATCAAAGTGGTTGTAACTATTTATAAAACATCAAACACTGAAAACAATTTCACATGGTGACGGGGCATTCATGTCATACAGATATATTTTTGTCTTATTGTGAAAATAGATTTGTGTATACATATTTCGGCTAAATTTGAGAAAAATTCACGCCGAAAAAAAATGTTTTTACCAAAATTTCATCAGGAACGTTGTATATATGTACGAGAAGTTGAGAATAAAACTCTTGGACCACCTGATAAACTTATTGTAGTGACCAATCAATGCAAATATTTCATTGTGTAATTTCAAAAATACCTGAATTTAGCTTTGACCCTGCAGATTTAGGGTCTTCCAAATGATAGTCCATTGACCAGAAAGTTTTAAGATATATCTCGAAACCAGCATTTTGAAATGTTTCAAAAAAAGGTTGAATCAGGCCTAGATGTTGATTTCTTCCTTATGAATATAATTTAGCAAACAAACGTAGGAATAATTTGTGATTTGCTGTTTGTGTCCAGACAAACGTAGGAATAATTTGTGATATGCTGTTTGTGTCAAGACAAACGTAGAAATAATTTGTGATTTGCTGTTTGTGTCCAGATAAACGTAGGAATAATTTGTGATATGCTGTTTGTGTCCAGGCAAACGTAGGAATAATTTGTGATTTGCTGTTTGTGTCAAGACAAACGTAGGAATAATTTGTGATATGCTGTTTGTGTCCAGGCAAACGTAGGAATAATTTGTGATTTGCTGTTTGTGTCCAGATAAACGTAGGAATAATTTGTGATTTGCTGTTTGTGTCCAGACAAACGTAGGAATAATTTGTGATGTGCTGTGTGTGTCCAGACAAACGTAGGAATAATTTGTGATGTGCGTTTTTTTATCCTCAGGTGTAGACGTATATTCTACGGTGTATTCAAACCAAGGATACGAAGGGGACATGTTCCAGCCCGTCGAGTCCAAACACAGCTCTGACATGGGCTATGATAACCACAACCTGTAAATGGTACGTGTACTCGGAACATTATACCAAAGTAACTGTCTCTAAACAAAGTTATTTCAATGAAACTATGCATATTTATTCATTATTTGATAAAGGGGAAGAAAAGAAAAAAGAAAAAAGACTAAAAGTGTTCTCTTGTTGAGAACAGTATATCACATTTAAACTTAATATGAGCAGCAGTTTTACAAAAGTATTGTCTGAAACATGACATCTAAATGTTGGGTATATCACTTAGAACATCAATGATTTGCTTCAAAACCCTTATTCATCTCACATTGTGCTAACAAGAGCCGTAGCAGCTTGGGATTATCTGTTGCTGCCTCACAGTCTGTCAGAGGTATTCAGTCCTCTCCGCAGGCACGGGGAAACAGCAGATCTTACATGTCGGCCTTGAAATGTTGCGACACATTTAATATGTACATTGTTTGTGTAGAAATTAAAACTTCAATAATAAATTTGTTTCTCCTTTCACACATCCCTACAAGATTTGTATAAATGACTTAGAATTAATTAAATTACAAATAGAAGCAGAATAACATCATGCAGGAAGTCATATATTACGAAGTATAAGTGACTTTGAAGCTCAGTAAAAAAAGTAGTCCTTATTTTTATTTTTAAGTCCCAAACAATTGTGAAATTTTATACACAGACTCTTGTGAATGGTTTATAATTATATCCATCTTAAATGACCTGCTTTGGCTTTGTAGATGTGCAGCACTGCTGAGAATTTGGAATATGAAGGGCCTTAAAAAGCATGGAAGACTGCATACTTAGTACCGCCACATACCCTGCATTGATGGCCGGTAACCATAGGAACCAATCAAATTGTCTTCACGTTACAAAAAAATGATGACGCCTATCAAAACATGGATCTCTCTATATATAAACTCTTTCAAGTTGAAATGGCGCGTTGTTGTAATGAATTTTGGCATAAAAATGTTTTTTTACAAGATCGGTGTCCATATGAATAAGCTCCCAAGGCAAGGGAGATAATTTGGAGAGGGAGGAGGGGGGGGGGAGGGGCTTGTGTGGTAAAATTCATATTAGAGAAAATATTGAATCTTTCCAGCATGACTTATTTGAATATATTACTGTATGCTATATGCAGTTGGATAACTTGCCACATAGATGGAGAGAAACAAAGATAGAGACGGACCGTGTGAGTGAGAGAGCGTGTTAATAAAAAGGCCTATATGATATAAAAGTTATTTTGTACGAATGAAGGACAATGAACTCCATAGGTATATATGCATATAGAGTTAAATTTTGAACCAACTTGTGAAGCTAAATCATTTACTGGACTTTCGTTGAATCTCGGTGGTTAAATCTCTTATGAGCTCTAAATTTACTGAATCAAAATTTCAGCCCAAATATTTTTTAGTGTAAATTTTTTGTTACTTTCTCTTTTTGCCATCCTGTGTGATGTACATACATGGGATCCTTTTTAATCCTCACAGATCCTTATCAAATCTTTATCTTAAAATCCAAGTTTAGTAATCATTATACATAATTTGTCGTCAAAATATGACGAGGAAAGTTTGGCCCTATAAAATAGTTGCTATTAAAGAGGATATTCGAAATATATAAAAGTTTTTGTAACTTTGATTTATAAAGAATAGGAATTATGTCTACGTTTTACTTTCAACATGTTTGCTTATAGATCATTTTTTCTTACAAAATATTTGCTTATACATGATGTATAGTATTTACAGAATTTATCGTTATTTTATGGGACACATTAGAGTGATATGTGAGAAGCGTGCATTGTTATACATTGATTTGACTCAATGCCGATGTTTAGACTTTGCTGTCTCGAAGTGGAAATTCATTTTATGTGAAACTAATGACATTTTTGAAAAAGAGAATCATATTTGACATAACAAGTGCCCAGAAAGGTTTTTTTTTTAAACCAGGAAAATAACATAAGGGGACTGATGAAAAAGGTTTTGTATACATTTAAAATTAAATTTGGGCTTTATATCCTAGCTTTGTGGCAACGTGACAAAGTTTTTAGTTTTTGAAGATTTGATGACATTGAAAAGTTGTCTTCAAAAGAGGGTGAGAAACATGGATGTTAAAATAAATTTAGGTCAAATATTTGAGTGTCCAAGAACATTTCTTTTGAAAACAAATTCACACCTTTAACTCTTAAAGAAATATATATAATATGATAATGATATGCGATTTCAGATTGTCAATTTTAGTTGCAAAAATGTATGTAAAGGAATTTTTCATGGAAATATTAAAATCACATATATTTTTATTTTTTTTTGTGGAATTTTCATGATTTTTTGGAGGACACTTACAGAAGAAGAGGCAAGTTTATGTAAATGTGTGTTCATGAATATGTATGAGGATTATGCATATGTAAATTAGATGTTTGTTCACAATTAAGTATATGAAAGGGAATTGTATATCCTAATTAGTGCTGATTTCTTTCAATCTCCCATTAAAGAAAAAGCGTTAATGCATTCCACAAGGAAAACATATCATATATTCACTTTAAAAATGTATATTTACATTAAAATATTATGCATAAAATGTGATATTTTTACAAATAAACTTTTGTACTTACAATTAAAATTGTTATTTCTTTGTTGTTGAAACTCTCAATACTGAAACACGAATTTGATGTAAAGAGACTATATGACAAGGGAGATAATTTTTAAATAACTGCTCATAATCCAATGAAGACCTGGGCCCATATTCATGAAACCGTTCTCATGCTCAAGCATAGCTTTTGTGCTCATTGGTGAATTGATCACTTACAATTGTTCAAATTTGATCGAATTGAAACAGATTTTTTAATGACGGTAAAGGGTACCACTGCTTCAGATATTATTAGACAGAGTTCTTCTCTAAATCTTTTTAAATATATTAAACTGTGGAATGCTAGCTCAATACTTTATTGATGTAATAATTATGGTGCACCTTTTGGACAAATCTGTATCGTACTCAATTCCTATACTTTTAAATCCCCATACTCAAAGGTACACAATAGTTTGATATTACATTTCAATGATGGTCATATAAAGTATTACTATTTATTGATTCATTGATGCCAAAGCATGTGTTTCTGCAATAAAAATCTTCACGAATTAATACGAAATTGTGCCATGCCTGTTTTAACGTCGTGCTTATGTATTTCATTGTATGTTTTTTTGTCAAAATAAATTATCAAATTAATTGAGCAATAAACGAGAGAAAACATATGCTTGCCTTATCAGGGTAGCTAGGCTGTGGGGAGTTTCGTGGAATTGATGCTATGGCGAGTTGTAACATTTTCCCTTAGCTTAATGAAAATGTTTGTCACAATTATTCTTTGCAATCAAGGTAGTATTTGTTACTTAGTTACGGAGACTGCTGGCATCGTACCTATCCTAAGGGTGTCACATATATAAAAAATGCGAAGAAGGTAAGCATAAAACAATTAAGATCCAACGACCAACTAGACTTATAAAAATATATATCTTTTGTCGATTGAAACAGTTTCATCAAATCGCCTGCTTCGTCGTCGATAAGAAAGAGATGTGTAAGAACACGTCATTGTAGCATGGTTAATAAACTCTATTACCTGTTACTGAGCGAGAGCGAGATCTCTGTCGAGAGGTTAAGATTCTGTAACAAAATCCCAACCGAGGCGTAAGCCGAGGTTGGGATGTTACAGAATCTTATCCCGAGACTGAGATAACCCGATCTTGCTCAGTTCAGGTAATTCTCACAGCGGCTATAGCTGAGGTTGGTGAAGACGGGTGCCTAGCGAGAGACCTCCGAAAGGAAGGAATTGATTGGAGAGGAAAGAAAAATAGATTCCAAGAGCTGCAGTGGGGGTGGGAAAGCAGATCAATAACAGTCTCCCAATGTTCTCTAAGTAGCTTACATAGAAGAAAGCCACCCGACTCTGCAGATGGTCCCACATAACTCGCCTCTCACAACCTGTATGGAATACAGCAGGCTTATTCTTTCCTGGAGCCTGCAATTCGTATTTTTGGTGATTGTTTAGTTTTGTTGGATAACTAGAGTCTGCAAAGCGTGTTCTCGTTTCAACGTTTGAAAGCTCTGAATGGAACAAACACATGTAGTACGTACTATAATTTGTCTGCAGAAAGTGTTGATGTTATTCGGTGTCTGGGGGCAGTCCTTTCAAGTTTTGAATGTTTTCAGTTTTACTAGGTTCAATTCCTATGTAAAGGTCGTACCTAATGACGTGAGGCGTCACGTGCGTGCATTCTCGTGCTAAATCGTTGGTAATCATGTGTGACTCTTCGTGGTCATCTGTATAGTCGTATTATGACAAAATCTTTTAAATAAATCTGCAGATTTTGGAGTCGTCAACAAACAAGTAGGTATCTTACTTTTGCTGAGTCAGACGAACGTGCCACAGCTAGGGACCTGAGAATTTGTTACAGCTATATTTATTTGGACCGAAACTAAGGTGTTCAGAGTAATTTTACATGTTTGATGGGTTTAGATCGACTTTCGGTAAAAATTCCACCCAAATGATGACAATATACGAATATCAATATATATAAATATATAGAATAAAAACATAAATCTTTCAGATCGTCCGCTAGGCCTTTCCGCCTTCTAGGGGCTTCTTCCTGAAGGCCTAGCGGACGATCTGAAATATTTATGTTTTTATTCTTTATTTTCCTTTGCAAGGACTTATTTATTTATTATCTTCTATATATATATATATATATATATATATATAAAGAAGAAAAAATCATTCTATATTTTCCCTACACGGACTTATTTATTTATTATCTATTATATATACATAAAAAGAAAAATTCTCAACAACGAGTCTTTAGTACTTTCATTTCTTCTAGAAGATTCTTCCGACTGTTTATTTGTATATATATAACACGTATATGATGATCATTATGGGGGTTACATTTTTACCGAAAGTCGATGTCAACCCTTGAAACCACTCGGAACTCCTCGGCCGATTCGGATGGAATGAACTGTAATCGGGACGAGGTATTCCGAATGTTTATAATGCCCCTTAAACGTGCGTACAGGTGTACTTGATTTATTAATCGTCTTGAAATGTTACCACACGCTGTGTTGAATTGTTGACCTTTAGCGATCTTACGATAGCTGTTTATAATTATTGCACCTCTGTGGTAATATTAGACTTACATATATGACTTGAACTTTTGATTAAAAAAAAGTTGCCATGACCACAGGTGCTCGGGTTCTGGAATATATGTGATATAATCTATTAGTATAAGGGGGTGCGATATCTAGTGGGTGCGATTATATCACATATATTCCAGAACCCGAGCACCTGTGGTCTGTCATACCAGGGACAGTATATAGAGGGGATTGGCAACTCTGCCCAAGTCCAGATTCTATAGCACGTCGCTTTTTTTGTGTTTGTTCACCGAACCGCGAAGTCATCGAGAGCCCCTCTCGATCAGCCCGCGCTTGCGCACTAGCGTTAAAATCATGTCACCAATCTCGCCGAGATGGGAGTGTTTTGATAACGGTTAGCCCTGATTGGGACTGTTTATTAGTAGGTCTATACGTCCCTGGTTATACAAAGGTATACGTATGAAGCGTCAAACACAATACATCTACAGCACACACGCAGACATGTACACACATAGGGAGGTATTAGCCAGATGGCATAAGACTAGTAGTTAGCGCATGCGAATTCCTCAAAACTGTATTGATAAATGTATATGCTAATTGTACTAATTGTATATATTGTACTGTACAGCGCTTTGGAGTGGGAGATGTGCATGTGTCAAGGGAAGACGACTCGTTTCCTTCATCACTGAAATATCGTTTTTATTTCTCGCCAGTTATGACGTTCTGACGAACTGTTATAAGTGTTTTTTTAACTTCACTAAGGTATAATTACCACTTCGTCGTGAAATGTCACACTGATCCCATTTACTGAAATGTTTGCACTTCCCATTTTCAAGATGGTTGCACCCAATAATGTGATCAAAATAAATTACCTTGTTATATAGACATTATGGTAACAATGCGTCTTTCTTACCTAAAACCTGATTATTTTACAACATGCAATGCTAATACTAGTATTGAAGTTCTTTACCACTGAGAGAGCAGTGTGACAAACTAGAAACAACACTGTCTTTTTCCAGGAGAGGGAGTTTGTCTTGGAGTGGTAACTATCTAGTCACGTGTTACTTACAGGAGAGGGAGTATGTCTTGGAGTGGTAACTATCTTGTCACATGTTACTTACAGGAGAGGGAGCATGTCTCGGAGTGGTAACTATCTAGTCACATGTTACTTACAGGAGAGGGAGTATGTCTCGGAGTGGTAACTATCTAGTCACGTGTTACTTACAGGAGAGAGAGTTTGTCTCGGAGTGGTAACTATCTTGTCACATGTTACTTACAGGAGAGGGAGTATGTCTCGGAGTGGTAACTATCTAGACATATGTTACTTACAGGAGAGGGAGTTTGTCTTGGAGTGGTAACTATCACGTCACTTGTTACTTACAGGAGAGGGAGTATGTCTCGGAGTGGTAACTATCTAGTCACGTGTTACTTACAGGAGAGGGAGTATGTCTCGGAGTAGTAACTATCTAGACACGTGTTACTTACAGGAGAGGGAATATGTTTCGGAGTGGTAACTATCTAGTCACGTGTTACTTACAGGAGAGGGAGTATGTCACGGAGTGATAACTATCTAGTCACATGTTACTTACAGGAAAGGGAGTTTGTCTTGGAGTGGTAACTATCAAGTCACTTGTTACTTACAGGAGAGGGAGTATGTCTCGGAGTAGTAACTATCTAGACACGTGTTACTTACAGGAGAGGGAGTATGTCTCAGAGTGGTAACTATCTAGACACATGTTACTTACAGGAGAGGGAGTTTGTCTCGAAGTGGTAACTATCAAGTCACTTGTTACTTACAGGAGAGGGAGTTTGTCTTGGAGTGGTAACTATCTAGACACGTGTTACTTACAGGAGAGGGAGTATGTCTCGGAGTGGTAACTATCTAGACATATGTTACTTACAGGAGAGGGAGTTTGTCTTGGAGTGGTAACTATCACGTCACTTGTTACTTACAGGAGAGGGAGTATGTCTCGGAGTGGAAACTATCCAGTCACGTACGTGTTACTTACAGGAGAGGGAGTTTGTCTCGGAGTGGTAACTATCTAGACACGTGTTTCTTACAGGAGAGGGAGTATGTCTCGGAGTGGTAAATATCTGGTCACGTGTTACTTACAGGAGAGGGAGTATGTCTCGGAGTGGTAAATATCTGGTCACATGTTACTTACAGGAGAGGGAGTATGGCTCGGAGGGGTAACTATCTAGTCACGTGTTACTTACAGGAGAGGGAGTATGTCTCGGAGTTGTAAATATCTGGTCACATGTTACTTACAGGAGAGGGAGTATGGCTCGGAGTGGTAACTATCTAGTCACGTGTTACTTACAGGAGAGGGAGTAAGGCTCGGAGTGGTAACTATCTAGTCACGTGTTACTTACAGGAGAGGGAGTATGTCTCAGAGAGGTAACTATCAAGACACGTGTTACTAACTCTACTACAGAGAGATTTCTCTAAAGCTCGATCACTAGAGCCGTGGACATTATATCGAGGTTTTACTGTATATAAAAGATGGATATTATATGGAGTTTTTACTGTATATAAAACATGGACATTATATCGAGGTTTTACTGTTTATAAAACATGGACATTATATCAAGGTTTTAATATTTATAAACTAGGGACATTATATCGAGGTGTTACTGTTTATAAAACATGGACATTATATCGAGGTTTTACTGTTTATAAAACATGGACATTATATCGAGGTTTTACTGTATATAAAACATGGACATTATATCAAGGTTTTACTATTTATAAAATAGGGACATTATATCGATGTTTCACTATTTATAAACTAGGGACGTTATATCAAGGTTTTACTGTATATAAAACATGGACATTATATCGAGGTATTACTGTACATAAAACATGGACATTATACACTGTATCAAGGTTTTACTGTTCATAAAACATGGACATTATAACGTCCCTTGTTTATATAAACAGTAAAACCTTGATATAATGTCCATGTTTTATATACAGTATGACCTCGATATAACGTCCCTAGTTTATATACAGTAAAACCACGATATAACGTACCTAGTTTATAAACAATAAGACCTCGATATAATGTCCATATTTTATATACAGTAAAGCCTCGATATAATGTCTTTCTTTTATATACAGTAAAACTTCGATATCATATTTCTCTTGGATATACAGTAAAACCTCGATATAACGTGCCTTGATATAACGTCACAAGTTTATAAACAGTAAAACCTTGATATAACGTCTCTAGTTTATATACATTAAAACCTCGATATAACGTCCCTAGTTTATAAACAGAAAAGCATCGATATAACGTCCCTAGTTTATATACAGAAAAGCATCGATATAACGTCCCTAGTTTATAAACAGTAAAACCTCGATATAACGTCCCTAGTTTATAAACAGTAAAACCTCGATATAATGTCCATATTTTATATACAGTAAAGCCTCGATATAATGTCTTTCTTTTATATACAGTAACACTTCGATATCATATTTCTCTTTGATATACAGTAAAACCTCGATATAACGTGCCTTGATATAACGTCACAAGTTTATAAACAGTAAAACCTTGATATAACGTCTCTAGTTTATATACATTAAAACCTCGATATAACGTCCCTGGTTTATAAACAGAAAAACCTTGATATAATGTCTCTAGTTTATATATATTAAAACCTCGATATAACGTCCCTAGTTTATAAACAGTAAAACCTTGATATAACGTCCCTAGTTTATAACAGTAAAACCTTGATATAACGTCTCTAGTTAACATACATTAAAACCTCGATATAACGTCCCTAGTTTAAAAACAGTAAAACCTTAAGATAATATCCATGTTTTATATACAGTAGAAACTCGATATAATGTCCATGTTTTATATACAGTAATACTTCGATATAATGTCCATAGTTTATAAACAGTAAAACCTTGAAATTACGTCCCTAGATTATATACAGTAAAACCTCGATATAACGTCCCTAGTTTATATACAGTAAATCTGTTGAACATTATTTAAATATGCCCTAAACCTGATGATGGTTATAAGTTATTAAGCTAATATATATTTTTTGTTTTGTTTGACCGATATCATAGATTATCATCGTCCTTGTATTTGTTTTTGTATTTAACCTACCTTTTACCTTCTGGTACAAAGCCAATCCTGTCTGTTATGAAAGCATTGTTATCATAAAGGTCACCAGATTTGTAAGTTGACTGCTGATTTAATATCCTGCCTATTTTTTCACAGTTTTGTTATAAATTAACTAAAATAGAATGAATTTATATACGAGGATGAATTTATTACTCCAAATGTTTCCTAGGGAGATTACTGTGTTACCGTTTAACTGCTACAGCGGCTGACAGTGCGTATATAAAGACAAACAGGTAGTTACATTCTATAATCACTCTACGGAACGTCGACCAGGTGGACGTCACGATACAGCTAATTCACACCGTTTTATTTTTCCTGATAGAATAGCGATACCATTTTGTCAGTACAGAACAGTTACTATGTGATGATACGGGAGAGATACAACGAATATCACTACCAGCATAACAGACTGAGCACCAACGCAACTTCCAATCTTTGTCTAAATGGAGGTATCTACATACGTTGATGGTCTTGTTGACAATGCTACTACGTCATCCGATGCGCTGACTTCCACAGTGACGTCACCAGGCGTTGTGCACATTCCATCTATTGGACACGATATAATTGGAGGCGTTCTCATCGTTACGATGGCGGTTGGAATTTGTACCAACTCTTTAGGTATAGCGATATTTATCAAAGACAAGACTCTAAGGTCACCTACGAACCTATTTATTGCGGGTCTTGCTTTGTGCGACCTTTCCATGTTGGTGGTAGCTACGCCACTCCCGACTGCTTCTAGTTTCGCTCATCGCTGGCTGTGGGGTCATACCGGATGTGTGTTCGAGGGTTTCATGGTGTACTTCCTTGGACTGACCAGTCTGTACCTCCTGTGTGCCATATCTGTTGACCGATATATCGTCATTGCATTGCCGCTTAAGATTGCTCTGGTGACGAAGCGTGCTGCTACTTTAACCATTGTAGCATGTTATGGCCTCGGATTTTTCTGGGCTATGCTTCCTCTTGTTGGATGGAACTCTTATCAACTCGAGGGACTGATGACGTCATGCAGCGTTGTCTGGAATACATCAAATCCTAAGGATTACAGTTATAATGTTGTCATCTTCTTCACTTGTCTAATATTTCCTATCGGCGTCATGGTATATTGCTACTACCACGTGTATATGACGGTGAGTGGCTTTCACATATATTATTTATGCTTCCGTTGTAACCACTCTTGATAAACTCTATTTTGTCGAGACGTCCCGTGACTTAAAATCATATGTTTACTTTGCAAATAATACACAGGTTTTTGTCTCGAAGACATTCTTTTACCTTGTATTGAGGTTGCTTGATTTTTATTTTATTTTTATAAATTCATACAAAGAACAAACTTTTTTCCGTAATACAGTTACAGTCATCAAGCACCAATAATGGCGTGAGGTCAATTTCAAATTAATGCGGAAAATTCCCGAATTTGTTCCAAGTGACGTTTACTACTTGCACAACTGGTACTCGTAGAAACTTGGCCTTGTTTCTACGAAACCATTTGCTATATATAACGTATCATGAACCGAAAAACACCTCACATAGTTATATTTACATTTGCTCTGCATCCTTCCACTGTAATACATTGCTAAGGCAATTGTTGTTATGAGACTATAACAACATTTGCTATTGTGACGTCATCAATCTCTATTGTGACGTCATCGATCTCTATTGTGACGTCATCAATTTCATTGTTGTCAAAACCTAATTTGCTGTTCAAAATCTGTTCGAAATAACTAAATAAAGCATAGTTACCCTACCAAAATGTAAATATAAATAAAAAATAATTTAGCAAATATTGTTATGATCCTTTAACACACATTTCTATTGCTAACAAACTTACATTAAGCCTTTCAGGGGCAGTCCCAACTTAGTAAAGCCCTACTGCGCTTTCTTTATTAAGTTAGTCACCAATAGCAATTCGTGTTACGTATACAGGACCATAAACATGTTGGTTACAATTTTATTTGGCGCCATTTTTCCGAAATAGATTCATAACAAAGAAATCTTGATAATGTTTTCCAACACCTTCTGGGAATCTGTTAAAGTCCGCCGAGAGTCATGTTTATTTGACGTCTTTTTCCGAGATAGGTTAATGAATGATAAACCTTGATAATGTTTCTTACACATTCCGGGAATCTGTTAAAATTAGTCTGGGTCCCTGCTGCGATTGCTCCGACGAGTCTGCGCTATTCTTAGAATAGCGACTCGTCGGAGTAATCGCAGCAGGGACCCAGACTATGTTAAAATCCGCTGAGATCGACGTCAGCCGGGAAGTACACAGTTGAACATTTCTATCAACAAATAAGATGACTGGATAAAAAAATGTTGAGACACTTAAAGTATTTTTGAGTCGACAATGCAATAAGATCATATATTTATATTCAGTAACGAGACCAAGACCTTTTATGACAATACAATTTCGAATATCGATCGTTACAATTTGAATTTTTAACGATCCCAATAGTCCTGAGTTTTCGTTTCGCAAATCAAAAATGTGTAATGTAAAAAAAATAATTAACACTATGTATTCGTATTATAAATATAGGATCTTACATGAGTTTCCATTTCATAAGAGATTTATGAAACGAGTTTCGACAAATACGACAATTTTCATGCAACCTTAATATATAAAAATCCGCAATTTTGACTCCAGTGCGGAAGTCTGTGACGTCATGTACTTGTCCTAGGCGTGACGTCATAATTGAAACAATTAAAACTCACAACCAATCACAAGGCTGATGGGTCATATTACATAGGTTAATACGCCAAAATAACACAGTACATTATGTGATAACACAGTACATTATGTACATTATGTGATAACACAGTACATTATGTGATAAAAGTCATTATTCAATTGGGAATAGTATGACCACTGGTATGATCATTGTTGACACGGAACGTCCGGCTAACCACCCACTTAGGCCTGGTTACCGGAAGTGAATGACAAACAAAGAACAAATGAGTGAAGAAAACCAACAACCTGTGGAGCTGTACTACAGGAGTTCTTTGAAAACACCTCACTATATAACATGAGTAAACTTGGCGTCGAAAGAGCGGATATATCGTGTCCAATGAATCGATATATGTATATTTAGATCTCTAAAATAATGACTGTTAATTGTTATCTATGGGACTCATTGACGTATGAAATGTTTTGATAATGGAGTGAAACATGAAAGGAAATAAGGCACAGTTTTAACCCATTTACGCTTAAAGTCACATTTGTACCTTTCCAATCAAAGACAGGTCGAGTCTAATTTAAAACTGTAGGGGATGGATNCTGTTTCTATGTGACGTTGCGATGTACGGTATATACTCTGTCACCTTCATCAGACAAATGACCAGTGAAGCGTATGTACACAAAGGTGTAAATTGTGTACACAAAATTGAGGTCGATTCGGCTACGCTGTAAGCGCTTCAGTGGTCATTTGTCTGATGAAGGTGACAGAGTACATACCGTACTGGTCATCGAAACGTCACATAAAAACAATCATTGGTTGTGTAACAAGAACTTTTCATAATTCACTATTTTTGTTATTCACCAACAATCTTTGCACGTGCAACGCTCTTCCAAAAGCCTCCCCAGTATTGCTATTGTCAACAGGTAAGCTGTGTTAGAGTTCCTGGACGTGTTTAATGATTTCCACATAAATATATGACAAATTATCGGGACAGAACCATTGCCTACAATGAACGTTCAGAAATCAGTGGCTTTTTTGGTGAAATGAAAAACATGCATTACGTGATAGATATTTGCACACGCAAAACAACAGCCTAATAAAAAAAAACGTTTGATGTCAAGGTCAAGGTCAAAGACGGGCCGAAGCAGACACGAAAGTAGATACATGTATAATTAACATTGGATTGTACATTATGAATACCTATTTGTTTGTGGAGGCGTAACGACCCCTCGACACAAGAAGGTCGTTTTGGCATAAAGCGTCAAAAAGAAACTAAAATGACTTTACACATATTAAAAGCACCTAAAAAACTAAAAGATATTGATAGAGTTCGATTATTGTAAACTCTATATTCTATATAACAGAGGAATTTTTCCTGTATGTACTTCATGATAATTCTCACGGGGACCTGTTAAAACATTCTGTATTGTTTTGTACGTTGACATACTTAACCCATGATTCAAAATTATCGGAAACATAAATTAATTTAGGCCTACCCGACCTTTGTTAGTAGACCACATATAGTACGTACTGGTTTGAAGCTTGTATTTCCCTTGGCGCACTATAGCTGACCACATCCAATCGATGAGGAAAGTATTTAGTAAGTCTAATAACGAGACCACGACAATGCGTGACTGACCAAAAACTGAAATAAGGTTCTGAGAATTCCCTTGGCAGCAGAATTGATAGCCTAATAAATAAATCTGGGTCTAAGAATCGGTTAGAATACTTTTTCTCAGAAATAGATCAGAATATAACATTAAAATCCGAGATATAGAACATAACCGTCGGCCTTGAAAGAAGATTACGTGTCAAATAGATCGATGCTTATTATATTTTGGTTAGATTATTACTACAAAGCATTAAATAAGCCAGGCATTGGTCTAAAAAAAATATTTGGTTCCATGATTGCATTTTTTGTCTCCAAATAGGTCATGGAGAATTAAAGACTTAAGTCCTTCATACATTCTAGATGACCAGCCAGTCTGTGTGTGGCGAGAAACCACGTGTGTTTTGTCTCCAAATAGGTCCTAGAGAATTTAAGTCCTTCAGACATACTAGACTACGAGCCAGTCTGTGTGTGGCGAGAAACCACGTATGTTTTGTCTCTAAATAGTTCACACAGAGTTAAACTCCTTCAGACATCCTAGATGACGTGCAAGCCTTTTGTATCCAATAACTTTAATTAAATAAATAAGGAAAGTTCTTCTTTGCTCTTTATTTAAGGGACACTGGCCATGGTGAAGAATACAATCAGTTTGTATTGTTTTTCCTTTTTTGTCTCCTTGACGACGTCTCTCTTCCTAAATCTGTGTTTATTGTTGTCAAAACAGTAAACATCATTCGTAAATTGGCAACAGCCGTCAAAATATTATAAAAAGATCGGAGTGGCTAATGACACTAGGCCTATATCACGGGCGAATCTAAAGATTATTCATGTAGGCTGTTCCAGCCATTCAGCATACTACGGGGTACCATAATAGAGATATTAAAAAAGCGTATAAAGAATTGGTTCAAAATATCTTTCACTCTATAAAAGTACACAATACATCTCAAGCACACACCCAGGCATACGCACTTAGGAAGATATTAGCCTGGTGGCATAGGACAAGTAGTTAGCGCCTGATAAAGCAGCTCCTGCGAATTCGTCAAAAAAATGTATTGATTAATGTATATGCTAATTGTATTGATTGTAGAAATCGTTTATCTATGTACTGTAAAGCGCTTTAGAGTAGCTTATTCTAGCTAGATAGGGCGCTATATCAAATGGTGCATATATTATAAAGTGACGTCATCATTCCCGTCATCGATGTCATTTAGGGCGCCATTGTTGAACACGTGTGATATTCATTTAATTACAATGCATACACGTATTCTCTTTCCACACAACATTAATCAGCATTTCCCAATAGTAATGTTATTCATTAGAGATTGAAGTTGAAGTTGAAATAGAATGTGTATCAACATATAGATCATTGTTATATTGTTACATATAATGAAAGGTTATATTTGTCGTTTGATTGGGTCAATCAGTGATCCTCTTGGAAAACCAATGACAGAATTATATATTTTTCGTCCTAAATTTGTCGTAACTTGACAATTAGTGGCAACTTAGCAGGTGATCTCCCCGTGAAATTTACTGTACAATAAGCAGTCACTGTAGTCCTTATGATGTGGGAGCGACGCACCCTGAAGTAGACACATCACTCCAATTAACAGTTGACATTACTCAAAACGTGCCGGATAATTCCAACTTGTAAGTGTTAAATAGTTAATAACTGTTTTACCGTGTATATTCAGCAATCAGATCTAGACATTCTAATGATGTAGTGATAAATCAATTAAAAGGGTACAGGACACGTTTTAGTTCTTAATTAATTAATTCGTGAACTCTACCTTAGAGTCATAACAGGATAATTAAGTTGGTCCTAGCGCAGGGCCCTGAATCGTATTGG